TTTTCTTTTTTTTTAGCTGAGGAAGCAGAAGCAGATATATGCAGCTTTTCAGCAGTGATTGACTGGAAAAAATTGCAATATATTTTTCAGCTTGAAATTTGGAATAATTTTGAATTGTTGAGGGAGATGGCATGAAATGAAGTAAGTCTGCAGCCTCACTGACTGCAGTAGCAGAGGAGTTTGTGCTTTCCAGAAAATGTGCAAAGGAGAAATAATGTTCAAATCCCTGCAAAGATAAATGAGAAAGGGGTGAGAGCCATGCCTAGAAATGACGTGGCTGTCAAAAGAAAGAAATTCAGGGAAGGTGACGATTATCTCTGTGTGTTCTTCTAAGGATAAAACCACACTGTGGTTTTGCACTATGTATGCTTGCAAAGTAGGATTAATGGGATTTACACAATGCCTAGGCCTTAATCTCTGAACAGAGGAAAATGTAATCAAAGAGATTCCAAAGAGGAGGTAGGAAAACTAAGTGAACGAGACAGGTTTGAGGTTTTATTTGTCTGAAATAATTTTTGGGTGAGTTTCCTCCCTGCCAACTGACCAACATAAGCGAACAAATAATGAGGCAACTTAGGCTTCATTACCAGTTTTTAGGTTGTCCACTCATAATTACTGACAAATTTCACAAAACTGCAAGTTCTGTCTCATTGGGCAGTCGTGAATACAATTAAAGTGGTTAGAGGAGTTGACCAATGTGCTAAACTTTCTGCTTTCCCTTGGTGATAAGTCTGAATCCAAACTAGCTGAGATACCACAGGGAAGTGTACATGGACGTGTACATTCCTCAGGGGAAGGCATGTGCAATCTAGACAGTGAAGGTGATAAATGCAGAAATGAGAAAATGTACTACTTGGCATCCTGAGAACTCAGTGCATGGAAGGCAGGAGTTCACTGAGTCATGCATTTTGCATTGACAGTTATAATAATACAAAAGGAAAGTATCATTTGAAGGCCAATATCATATATAGTGGGAAGAAGAATGGATTGTGGAAGAGAAGGGATGGTTTAACAAACTGTTGATAATTCATTGAACAAACACAACAGCAAGTGGGCTCCTGAAAGATTCCTTCTGCTAGAGGAACATGGAGAAGATTCCATATCATCACAATATGTTAAATAATACTAAAGGGTAGTTGCATTATTAATACAGCTATGTAAATATAAGCAGGCCTTGCTAATAATTTTTTTCACAGATGCTTACCAATGTAATATTTGATCACTTTATGCATACAAATACATCAAGAGTAGTCAAACTTGTAAGCGGTTTTGTAGGCTTCCCATTTCATCTTCTTAGAAACCTGTGTTCTGAACAATATGTATTATTTTAGCTACTGGGGGAATGTGGAAGTTGGATGGGAAGAGGAAGTGGTTGATGTAATTCAGCTGTAGATGAAATGCTACATAGGCAATAACTATCAAGATCTGGAACAGCTAATCATCGGGTAATGTCTTGACTGTGACTCAGTCTATTGAATGAAAGGATTTAGGAAGATGAAGGATGATACGCTTCCCCAGAGAGACACCAATCACAAACTAATCAAAATATCCTGGGAAGCATCTAGCCAAGCAGAAATTAAATCTTCACTGGACTTTTCCAATTACACAGTACTAGTCCAGATGTTCATGTTGCTGAAACATTTTTATTTCTGAAGGAAAATAAAGACAGGAATCACCAGCATCATGGGATGTTTACTGGCTGTGACAGTTGCTGTCAGGAGACAGGAGGAACATTCTGTTCTTGCCTGGGATCTGGGTGCCAATGTCTTAGGATGAAAGGCGTGCAGAAAAAAGTAGATTTGTCTTTCTAGAAATCTTTCCACGTGTGCTTAATATTCACCTAACCAGACAAAGTTTTTAGAAGCCTCCAGGTAGCCTGGTGCAGATCTGCCCTTTACTGTTTGTCAGGGTTCCTCCTCAGTGGGCAGTGGAAGGGGAGTGGGCTGGCAAGAGAGTGGGCAAAAGAGGCATTTGTGGCAGCATTGGGAGAAGAAAAGACAGTGTGCACTGGCAAACTTATACCATTGCTGAACCCACCAGTGCCTGTCATGATAAGTAAACACGGAGCCAGTGGTACTGGTGTGGATGAAGTGCCTGTGTGTTTTTGGCATGGTTGAGAAGGAAAAAAATCAAATGGTAGTACTCCAAATTAGAGCTTCAGTACATCCTTTGGAAGGAGATGCCCAAATATGACAGGATCCTTCATGTATTAGAGAACACTAGTAGGAAAGTATTACTGTTTGATGATTTTAAGAAGAAATATCCCTTTTGAATGTTGTCAGTGAGAGCAGCAGTCCATAAGAAGACATGCTTAAGCTTGTGCTTAGATTATTCAGTTTAACAGGTTTTCAATTCAGTTTCAATTAATTCTTTTTGATTGGGCAGTTATTTGTTTGATTTTCTCTCTTTTCTCATAGTTTGATCATTCTATATAGACAGGTCCCTGATACCTGGAGGCATTATAACCTTGCTGACAAGGCTGCAGCAAGATGCTTGGATTGTTTATTTAGGGGAACTCAATGGATGAGAGATAATTTTCTTAGCTGCATGATGGCCAAGTGTTGTGGTTGTGGAGGTGGGCATGTGAACTGTGCTTCAAATTTCTGGCACCCACACAGGCTTTAAACACACACTCTGCTGCCATGTTCTAACCTTTGAGGAACAATCTTTGGGTGCGTGAAGATACATGGGAAAGGGTCAAGGGCCATCTGGGCAGAGCCATCTCTCACAGACTCAGAATTTCTAAGTTTTTCTTGTTTCCAAGACTTTTTGGAGAAGAGCTGATTTTCTTGTTGAAAGCAAGTATTTGTGATAGTGTCACTGATTAGAATGGTTTCATATGCAAAGACTTCCAAAGCCTGTTGGTGAAATTAAAAACTGGCTTTATGATTTCACACTAGGCTGATGTGTTCTTTTGATGCTGCTTCTGTGTACGTTATTTTCTGTTTCTTTGAAGAATCAATTTTGTTGCCATTAATAAGGAGACTGGATTTAGTGGACATATTTTCTTCTAAGATAGAATGACAGCGATTTTGATGTCTTTTGCCATTTCTGTGAACAGTCATAGTCTGCCTGTTGGGAACATGAGGATGTGTTAACAGTTCATTGCCATTGTGTGATCCTCAGGCATTGCTATACTGTATTTTTTCCTGTCACGTGTAGTTCTTAGAAACTTGAAATATATGGGGCAAGGGAAGGGCTGAATATTTGAATATTTCAGTTTTGTGTCATGGCCTGTAATGCACAGGAGGTGATATGTATGACTGGATGATTGACTTGTCTTGCCTAGATTTAAGATCTGCTAGTCCCTGGTAAAGAAGTATATAGAATTATTTTATGTACTTCCTTCTAGAAGAGCTTGTTTTGGGGAGAGGAAAGAGACACAGTGTTGAGCTTTTATGACTCTTTGTGAGTCACACACTCTGGGTGTAGTGAGATGACTCTGGTTGGACTCCAGGCACCCCCAAAGCTGCTCTCTCACTCCCCTCCACAGCTGTACTGGGAAGAGAAAATGTAACAAAGGATATGTGAGTTGAGATAAGGACTGGGAGAGCACTTTGGATGCTTGTATCACACAAGATAGTTTATATTTTATAACATAATGATTACTAATATTTCTGAATTTCAAAACCCCCATTTTTGTTGCTATACCCATTACTTATTTTTCATCAGTTCCAAGACTTTTTACATGCTGACCAAGTAATAATAAGGAGCTACAAGTTAAAAATGAAAAGTAAAGTAGAAATGAAAATAAAATTAATAATTCATAGAGGTCATTCAAACTAAAAAATAAATAAAATGAAAAGTCTTGTACTTTTAGATATTTTTATATTGTCTACAAATTATGGTCTATTTAAACAGAATAGATAAATCTCTCGGTGAAAGGATAATTGATTTGCATCTCTAAATCAATGATTAGCAAATTAGACCTCTAACATGTAATCTGGAACTTGAAAGTTGTAACCTACTCCTGTTATTTCATGATTATGCTTACTTGATGAGCCTTGACTGTGTCCTAAGCAACAGAGACAGACATCTGATTTTCTGTACCTAGCAGTTATGTTACTCAGCCTTTATACTTTGCATAATGTAATTGCAGTAATGGAACCATTAAATAAAAAAAAAAGGCAAGACAGTTTGCTGTGAAGATGTTTTATGCAAGTCTTAAACACTGAATAGGAGCTTTAGTGAGCAATCCAGTACGAGCTATGTCAGCATGCTGTTGTAAAACCTGGTGCTGCCAGGGGGCAGGAATGGCACCAAGGCCATGGTACGACAAACACCGATCCTAGTGACATCCGTCTGTCATTTGATCATTGGAGACTTGATCCTGTTTTTGTTGGGGGATAAAAAAATATACAGTCATGAAAAGTCAGTTACTTAAATGTCAGTACAATGAAGTTCATATACTTGAATATGTCTCAGCAGTAATGATAAAGAGCTGGGATAATCAAGATTAAACAAATCCATAATGTTTAAATAACCATGTGAGGTGACGAAACATCAAAGGACTGTGATAACAAATAAACGTGTGGCTTCAGTGATCACCCTTCATCATGCAACGTTCCTCTTCAAGAAACTAATTATGTATTAATGCCACTGGTGCTGCTCTCAAAGCTCCATTTTTCTGTGCACCCCTGAAGTGTTGCAGGCAGTCTTTCTGCCTTACACTTTCTTGGTGTAACTCTTCTGTACTCTTCTGTCATCTCAGTAGCTATCTGTACTTCATATTGATTCAACACGCTTCATCTTTCTACTTACATGTGCTTTTTTGGGTACTTTGTGGGTTTTTTTCTCCTCTAATTTATTTTCTTATGATATCCAAGAGTCCTGTAGATGGGTTTAGAATATGCTTGCAGTATTCTCTATACTGAATCAGTATTTTCATTTTGAAATGGTGTTCTCTTTAAGAAAACGTATCAATTCTATAAGCAGTGTGCCGACACATTTATACAAAATCACTGTGTTGTGTTGTTTTGTTTTGTTTTTTCCCTCTGAAGCGGTGTGTGTATTTGAAGGCAGAACCTACTTTGAAGGACAAAGAGAAACTGTGTATTCAAGCTCAGGGGACTGTGTTCTGTTTGAGTGCAAGGTAAGAATACTCTTGATGGAATAAAAATTCTTGCATGTTAGAAATATCAAAGTCATGCTGAAAGAAACTTTTGAAATACAGACAGGTGTTCCTTAGGAAGTGACAGAAAATGCATCTAATAGGTCCTGTGTTTATTTTGTCTGAGTTCCACATCAAATTTTTGCAAATAAATTTACTTTGCATAGCTGCTAGCTTTGATGATAGAGCTTGACAATCAAGCAGCATTCTTTCTTCCCTAGCTGTCGTCCCCACCATCAGTAATGAAACAGCAGCAGATTACCTTATGTTTCCATCTGCAGTGTTATTGTTCAAAATTATGTGTTCAGGTGTAAGAGATACACAAATGTGATGGGGACATAGTTTGGAATTGTGAATCATTCTTAGAGGAAAAGGAAGGAAAAAAGCTGGTACACTGGTATCTGGTATTTCTAGGGATGGAAATGGGGTAGGATTGGGGTTTTTATTTGTAAACAGAACATACCTGATGCTGAGTCAGTTTTGCCCTGCTGCATGAATAGAGCTGCTCTTCAGGACACAAATACACTTCAAGGGCAAAATATACCCCAGGGAGAGCTGTGGGTTAAGAATTACACAAACTGATGCAGAGAGCTGTGGAGTGTCTCTCCAGGGGAGGGATGGGGAAAAAAAACCCTGTCTGGTTAGAGCTGCAGGCTGTGGGCTGGAGCTGAAAACCTGAGCACACTTCTAGGGCAGAGAAAAAGAGATGAGCAACTTCTCTTTCCATGCAGCTGTCCATCAGACCAGTTTCTGGAAATCCCAGACATTTCCATGCAATTGTTAAAAAGCTTATCTTACAAAGACGAACTGGGAACTCTTGTCTAGCTGCTGTTGTTTTTAATCTTTATGAGCTTAATTCCTGCAGTAGGGGCTTTGAAACCCTTTTGAGAATGGAAAGGAGAAGCTGATCAGAAATAATTTTTGATTCAGCTGTAGGGGCTTTTTAGGGCTATGAGCTTTTATTTTCAACATGGCACCCAGGATATGAATTCTATGAGTAGTCAATGGATATAATTAACAACGATCAAAAGTTACATGACATTGCCTTGTGTTCCTTCCTGCTAACAACTGTGATACTGTATTTAAAAAAAAAAAGCCTCTGTTGGCTGGGCTAGTTTGTGTTTTGTTGATTTGACTTGTTTTCTGGTAGGCTGCCTCACTGTCTTGGTAGAAATAGTAAGCAGCTACTTTGGCTGACTGAAGTGTTGCTTTTTCAAGGACTGAAGTAAGCACAATTTCTGCTGAACAGCCTCATGAATGATAATTCAGAGCATGAAATCCATATATTATCACCTTTGTTGGTCAGTTAGGAATTCATAGATGGGCATTATTTTTATTATTATTACCAAAGTTCTCATAAAAGGATATAATTAATGACTTCAAGTCAAGAGGAATTAATAGGAATGGCACAGGTACTGGTTTCATGCTTGAAGGCTTACAATGATGTTATCAAGGCAATGTATGGAATTATTTCATTTTGTATGGATGTAATTAAAAGTGCCATGTTTTGTTTTATTGTCTACTGCAGTTGTGCATGCTGTAGGCATGCACTTCTCTGAATATTATAAACAGGTAAATGAAAAATTATCTTCCAAATTAGAGTTTATAAAAGATTAAAGTGAAATTTTGGTGATAAAAGATTAAAGTGAATTTAAAGTGACTACCCTAATTGATGTTATTTCTATCAAAGGTTAATTTAGCTTATGGGATTGTTTGGTTTTGTTTGTTCTGGTGTACAGCACATCTCTGTCTGATTTGCTTTATTGTATTATAAGATTAAAGCTGGTTCCTCTCTCAAGATTGTTTAAGGGAAACTTTGAGCAGTAATTTTGATATTGGCCATTGTGTACATGTTTCATCTTTATATTTCATGCTTAAAGAGGGTTTAAAATTAAATGCAAGATGAATAATAATAGTAGTACACACATAGATGCAATGGTATATGCATTCTTTTAGTCACTTTTCTTGCATGCAGAAATGCAAGGGTCCTGAGTTCATTGATGTCTTATTTTAACCACATTGCTTATTTTATGGCAGATGCCTCTGAGGAACATGCTGCTGTTTGCCTTGTTTTCTTTCTGTGCCCTATCATAACTAGAGCACTGCAAGATAGATTATTCATGGCCCAAGGGAGCCCAAAGGTGCTGTACTCATGGTAGCCAGGTTGCTAAGGCAAGCATTTCGTGTGCCATACTGCAGCCACCTCATGTGACCTGCACTGAGTGCTGAAGATATTTAGATACCATCTCGTAGTATTGTACCCTTCCTGATGCCTGATCCAAACTTAGCTGGGAAACCCTCTCTTTCCTCACAGGGACTCAGTGCCAGTTGCTTTCAGTGTTTCTGCCACAGCAGTGAGATCAGAGATGTTCAAGCTGTATTTTATGTTCTGTATATATAACAAGCTTCTTTAGGGTATTCATTATGGGGACCCTTGACTCCGGAATCTGCTGCCTCAGTTTTTGAGAAATAATTGTAACACTTTAAGGCATAATGCTAAGAGAAACTTCTAAGGCAAATTACTTGACAGCTAGGATAAGAGAAGAATGAGAATTTTTGCCATACTTCTGCTTGCTTGAAAAGGTTTGGGTTGAAAAGGTTAGGAGAGTTCCTGATGCTTCTATTGTGCCGTGTTGTCCTCTCAAATGATTTTTGAGGCTACCTGGATTTTGGCCTAGGCGTGGATTTTTTGTACATTGTAATGCTGAAACTCCACTAAAGTTAAAAGTTCCTTTATTTCTTATCTTAAAGTATTAATCAATTACCTCAATTTAACAGGACCACAAAATGCAGAGAATTCCAAAAGACAGCTGTTCAGCTTTGAACTGCCCAGAATCTCAACAGATCCCCTTATCTCACAGTTGCTGCAAAGTCTGTAAAGGTAAGGTAATAGCAGGATATATATATAAGCTCAGTGTAATCTTTCATTCTTATAGATTACAAATAGACTTTTTTTTTCTGATAATTTTGAATAGGACAGTCCTATGCACAATGATCACTGTAAATTTTTGGAAGTTGAATAAGTAACAACTGCACTGTGACATCTGAAAATTGTTTGTAAAATGTTTAGTAATGTGAATTATGTGAAACAAGATTATGTGTTTTATTCCAGCCAAAATTTTTGTGGAAAGTCTAAGAAATAAAATATATATATATATAGTGATTTTTCTGCCCTTCACTCTCTCCAGTGTCCAAATTAAATAGACTGGAGAAATATTCATGTTTGCCAGCATCTTTCTGGGGTGATTTGAGAAATCTCTCTCAGAGAACTGTTTGTGCTATGCAGTTGTTCAAGTACTCGGGTAACTTGTTCACCTCTCTGGGGTTGAACATAGTCTACATCTATAAGCAGAAACTTTGGGAAATATTTTTGTATGCTGTGCACCTTTGCATGTTGCACCCAGTCTGATCCTTGCCAAAGGAGATGTAGGAAGTGCTCTGAGTCCTTGTCCCACCCTTTTCATCTGGACTAGCACCAGTACCTTCAAAGCTATCAACATTTGCATCTTCAAGCAGCTACATCCGTTTCTCCTACAGCTAAATAAGATAAATTGATACTTGGCATAAAGGAATGTGTTGATACTTGGCATGAAGGAATGTGTTAGGCTCTTGGACTGATTTTAGGTAGACATCAGCGATGATTGCAGCTCTGGCTATTTCTGTGCTGCTCAGCACAAACATGAAAGATATGATTAATGGCATCAAGCAGAGCGATAAGAAAGTAGAAGAAAAGAACTTAAGACAGGTCTTCAAGTCTGTCACAGCCCAAAAGGATTTTTTAATGATAATTTTCTATAAAATCTTCACTAGCTTAGAGAAAAGGATTCTATGTTTCTTGTGCCTCCTGTTATACCTAGAAGATTTTAATATATGTCAGTTGATTGCTTTCTGAATAATTTCAATCTTCCCTGAACTATGCTAGCTTGGCTTCTCATGAGGTGAGGAGCTTATTCTTTAAACAAGAAGCTGCTGTAGGCTATTATTCAGTAGCATGTGTTTTGTTTACTAATACAGCTGCTGTATGAGTGTTGCAATCTTAACAATAATAATCAGTATGAAAGCCCTCACGCCTTCTGGATGACACATATTTTAGTTGTTAATGTCAAAATCTGATTAAATCCAGAAGTAAGCCTCTTGCTTTTCCATGAACTCAGGATTCAATGAGGAGGGCAGCAAAAAGGCAAAAAGTAGATGTTGCCATGGCCAGAGGTTGCTCTTGATGCACATGGTTCTGCTGTCATCAAGGAGTGTTGGAGACCCTTTAGCACAGTCAAAGTGTAGGAAGTTTTGCTCCATAAAGTCCTGTGTTAGATGTCATCACTGTGGTAGCTGTGGTGAATGATAATATCTAAGTAACATTACCTAAGTATATCTTTAGGTTAGAGAAACAACACACAGCAGGAAGAAGAAAAACATTAGTCTGTCATATCATATCACAACATGTGATGTTTCTATCATAACCATGTCACTGGGTCTCAGTACTAAAACATTTTGTCTTTATGGGATATTGTGCTTCCTTGTCTTTTGCTTCCTTCCTGTTGCTTCATACTGTTCCTGAGCTGTCCAGGTGCAAAATATTTCTTTCACCTGACCTCCAAGCATCTCTGCTGCCACTGTTCTGCTTGGGGTCCTTGTTTAACTAAGCTTCTGTGAGGTTAGGGTTAGAAGCTCTTCTATGGCAAAATATGAATTGGAAACCAGGTGGAATGATGAAACTAATAATCTTTACTGCCAAAAAATACTTTTTTGCTATTTTGCAAGAGGCTTGTGTTGCAGCCTGATGCCAGCTTGCATTCTGGAGCTGTTGCTGTTACACCAGTCCTGGTTCCCTGAGCCTGGCCCACGTTCCCAGGGTCTCCTGTGGTTTTGAGAGAAGAAAGTAATTATTGGAAAGCACTACTGCTGCTTGATCAATTAATACTTCAGTGAAAGAAGGAAACTTGAAACAAACAGAATTAATGAGAAAAAAGGGAAGGAGACAAGCTCCACACCTTTACATACAGATCTGGGAACTGTGGAAGCTTCAAGTCAGTTTCTAGAACCAGCCAATGTTGTTCAACAATGTCAAATCATTACATTTCGTGAGAGAAAACAGAAAAAATTTAAATAGAAACCTACAGAGTTGAAAGGTTCAATCTATATTTTACAGCCCGCAAAAGAGCTTCATTACCTTAAAAATTTATAATTAGGGTGCAAAATGGCCACACTCAGGAAAAATGGAAAAGAAAAAATTAGGAAATTTGGATGCTAACAGGTGAGATTTAAAAATAAAATTCTCTGTAATGGAAAGAATGATGCAATAAGGGAAGAGTATTCACTTAGTGGAGGAAGGGATGAGATAAGGGGAGAGTAAAGGAAAACAAGTCAATTTAATCAAAGACTTTTGGTTAAATATAGAAGGATTTTATAAATACACCTGGGAACAAAAAGTGCTAAAAGTAATATCACTAGTAAATGAGATGCTGAATGTCTAAGCTGTTAAGCTCTTTTATAAATGTACGAACAAACAAAAAAGAAAATGACAAGAACTATATAATTAAGACATGTCCTGTAAAAGTAATTAACAATGACAAGGAGACAGTAAGGGGATTTAAGCAAGCCTCCTATCCAGCTGCTTCAGATCAGTGCTATAACCTGAAATTGAATTGAAGACCCAAAGACTGTCTGTTCTGGTGGCCTTTACTACTCCTCTCATCCATTTCATGCTTGGTACAATTTATTTTTCTGTATCTCACAGACAATAGAAAGGTATTCTTTGACCTAACTGAGAAAAAGATAGGACTGTCTTTGACAGGTATGTTTTGTAATCCCTGGATTCTTTTTAACCCTCAATCATGCTTGTTTCTGTACAGGCCATGACTTTTGCACTGAAGGACATAACTGTATGGAGCATTCTGTCTGCCGAAACCTAGAGGACAGAGCAGTCTGTAGCTGCCGGGACGGCTTCCGAGCCCTTCGAGAGGACAATGCTTACTGTGAAGGTGATGCCTTGTACACAGGCTTAGCACTTCTGTAGAAATTGTTTATGATGTATATCACCTGTGGGATGAGTGAGTTCATTGTATCGAATGTCTATCCATTTATGAATCAATACAATGTGCAGCATGTTGATCAACTAAAATAATAACTCCAATTAAGTTCTTTAAAAGAAAATTTAAAAAAAATCTGATCAACATGGAGGTGAGCAGTTAATATGGCTGAGGTCTTGAATTAGAAGCAGGCTTCCATAGGAAAATTTGCCTTTTTTTTCATGGTATTTAGATACTTGAACAATCTAATTTCAACCATTTGAAAAATATATTAGTGTAACATTTAGTTTCTCTTTTCACTGCTGCATGTTCCTATTCTCTCTCTCCAGGAAGTAGGAAATGCTATAGAATAGATTTTAGTATTGTTAATCACACTGAGTAAAGATTTGAGTTGCTCTATTGGTACAACAAGATACTTAATCAGAAGAGAATCACCTCTACAATCTAGCATCATCAGGTGAAAGGAAGCCGCTCCAGCAGTGAAAGCCAAAGTCCTCTGCAGTCTCAGTGTTTGTGCCAACTGTTGCTCTGTCTCATGAAAACCCTGATTCTGTCAACACAGAACACCAGTGTGCTGTCAGGCCATTCTTACCATAAAGCTTAAGTGTTGGCAGCAGGATGGTCTTTGACTAATGAGCAGTTCTGTTCAGATTACATTGAAAGTCAAGCATCTGTGAGTAGATGTAGTTTAAGGTACTCTGCAGTCCCACCTAATACCTGTATTATTCTCTGGTGATGCACAATAAATGGGATAAATTTAGGCCTTTTAAGATTGTTCCTTTGGCTGAACTCTGCTGAAGTTCATGCCTGCAGCTTGCTTGAGTTAGTAGCTGCATTAGTATCAGTGGGAATGCTCATCTGTAGACTTGCCTTTGAGAATTTGTGGCTGTTTTCAGGAAAGGAGCATATAATTAATTCAGCTTTATATACATCTCTACTTAATTTTTATGGTAAGCCCTCTGATGTAAGCTGATTTTGAGAAGAAGTAAAAATCTTACAGAAGCAAATCCCTTGCCCCTCATCATTTTCCAGGAGGTATCTGACATCAGGACCTGCTGTGAAACTTGTAGCATCAACCACTTTTTATCCCAAAGTCCCTGGAGACTGCTGTGGCTTAGGATGTGGATCTGTGTTTCTGGGAACTCATCAGCCATTCCCTATCTGAGGGAGTCACTGGAGCAATGGAGTTATCATGAATTTAGGGGCTTTAAGAGTTGTTTTTTTGTTCTGCAGCTCTATTGTCACTCTGCCAAATGAAAGCAAAAAAACAAATTACACTTTCTTAGTGATCTCCATGTCTCTCACATTGGAGTCTGTTGCTTTATATGTAATTTTTCAGGCATGCCATAAGCAAAAAAAGGAAAAACTTTATTATCAGCACTGTGGGTGAAATGTTTGATGAGGACACACTAGATTATCATATGTGAAGCCAATGCATTCTTATTATAAGAGGATTTACTTGTTTGTGCAGTACCTGATTTCAATATGACAATTTTTGGAGCAGATTTCTTGGCCCAATTGTTTCTGCATGGGCAAATTACATTGGTTCTGGGTGGTAATTATGAATCTGCTTAACTTCTTTCAGAGAACATGCTTAAGTGAATAAAAGATTGGGACATGTTATTTACATAATAATATTAATTTTGCTTATTACATTTGAAGGCATTGAATTGTTACTTGGTGTTCCTGATACAGGAACATTTGCTCATGTTGAAGGTCATGGGAGAAAGTTTCACCAGGAAGATGTGCCCACATGAGCAAAGCTCAGGAGATTGGGTCACTTCCCAAGAGATTCTCCCTGCCAGAGGTGAAGCTGCCTCAACAGGCAAACCAGCCTGGCTTTGCTGCTGGTGCCGTGCTGTAGCTGCAGTGCTGGCACCACATTTGAGCACAGCTCCAGACCTGGTCCTGGCTGTCCATCCCTGACTGACTGTGAGGGTCATGTGCTGGAAGGATGGGAAGTAAGGCTACAGGTTAAAACATTAGGATTGTTTTTGTGGAAGGGACAGGGGACTAAAATACCCATGTTTCTTCGGAGCTGTACTTTTATTACTTTATCCCTTTTCCAGTTCAAATGTCTCTTTGAGCAGAGGTTTTTATTTCTGGAAAGAAACTCTTCCTTTATATACTAAATTAACAGCAAAAGGCACAATAGCAATAGTGTAACACCAAGTCTTTTCAGAGTCCTGTGCCTCATCTTGAAAGGCTGGAATGGTCCCAAGCTCCCTTTCTCAGTGGATGCCCTTTCTTCACTCTGCTATTATTCTGTCTTTAATTGCAAGCAATGCCAGGCATAGAAATATTGAGTTAACACAAAGCCTTGCAGAGAAGGCCTTTTGTAATGGCTAGAGACATAGGTATGAGAGCTGTTTGTGTGTTTGCAATGCAGAAACTTCAGATATACTGCAAAATTTGATGTCATTGGCTCTGTGTTAGAGCCAAGTTTCACTAAACACAATCCTGATTTGTGCTCTAGCACTATCAAAATTAAAGAACAAACAGAAGTAATGATGCTCCCATTTGCAGAACTTCTCCTTAAGGAGAAGAATAAAAATAAAATCACTTAAATCTGGTTTCAGTGTGGGTCTGGAAAAGCTGAATAAATTTTACCTGAATGATGGAAGAGTTTGGCTTCTGTCCTAGAATGCACCACTGTTTTTCCAAAGCTATGTGATGTCTCTAGATATTTTTATGGTGGATAACTTCCTGCTATATTATAATAATATGTATTTCTTAATCTGCATGCTATACATGGAAGCCTTCCATGGAACATATTCCAAATTATTTTAAATCTGTTTTCTGCCTCAGGCTATTATGCAGACTGAGATACTTTGTGGGCAGGTTGTGTATGGATTATGCTGTGCTGCCCAGGTGTAGGTGCTTTTAATACAGCATCCTACCTAACATCACCAGCTTACTAAGACAGGTGTTCTGGTGACGTGGAACTAGTTTTTCCCAAGGCCACATCTGCAGTACTCTCAAATTGAAGATTACCTTGTGGAATATATTTCAAAGAGTGTTCAATACCCAGTGTTTTTATGATGGTGGAGTTATGCTGAAAAGGCTTTTCAGGATTAAAGGTTGTGACTCTTGGCTACCAAGGTAATCTGATGCATCTAGAGGAGCATATTTTAACTATCTCTGTGCAAAATCTGATTTCAGTTCAGAAGTACTGCCAAGGATTGCTGATTAAATAGAGAGCAGAGGAAGTTTAAGAAAAAAAGACAGGAGAATACAGTAATTTTTGTGGAGATCAAGAGCGAACATGACCTGAGAAAACTGTGTTATTTACTTCTTTATCAAGAGGATTTTGCCTGATGCAGAGACTATTTTACATCACATATCTATCTTGGTTGTGATAATTTCTTTTGTAAATTTCTTTGTAGCAGCCTGTGTGGTGCTGTGGTTTAGGTTTGTGATGTTATACTCAGTAGTGAAAACAGGAATACAGTGTGGCTGTTTCTCAGAGATTGACTGGACATCAGTCTGCTGGAAAGCATTTTGAGTTTTTTTTTCCCCTATCTCCCTTCACTTACTAAATGGTCTTTATATCAACTCATGAGTGTTTTTTCTCGCTTTTGCTCTTTTCTTTAATCCCTCAATCCCACTGAAGGGTTGACAAGAAAGTAGTTGCTGGGTGCTAAATTGCGGACCAGGTTCAGCCCTCTACACATCACAAATTTATGTTATGGGTATGTGGGTAGTAATGTTTTTTAATATTTGGAAATTTAGTTGTGCTATTTACACAGTATACAACATAGTTAACATAGAAAATTTTTTTTTGTGAAACAATTTTCCATTTATATTCTAATTCATTCTTTTTCCTCAGCAGCTCTTCTACTGTCTCTGCTGTTGTCATGTTTGTCCCAGTTCCAAGTGTAGCAGATGAAATTAGACCAAAGACTGAATGACTTTGTCTGGATTTGAGAATTACATCAGCTTCACTGATGATTGTCCCTCGAGGGGAGAAGGTTTTCAGTTGAGAAATCTGCTTTTGAATGAGCTGGCTTGATTTGGAATCACTGTCAGTGGAGGGGGAAGTAAGCAGTCTTAGACAAAAAATTGCCTCTTTCCAGAGATTTCTGAAGCATGTCAGAAATGATACTTGGTTAAATCTTATCAGGTGTCCTTTAGCTCACAGTTGTGTTATTATTCTGTTTGGAAAGATTTACTAATTTATCCCTGTGTATGCTTAAAAATACTAATGCATTATTTAACCCTCTTCCCCAACAATATGAATATTGCACTTTTTCACATACCTAATTAGTACAATCTGTTGTTAATCTTCTTGTTAATCTTGTTGGTTTGAACTACTGGATTACAAATTAAGTACATTTTCAAAATTAATCTGACTTCCATGGATTGTAATGAGGAGAAGAAATCCTATAAAGGATAAATAGTGATAATCAAATTGCAGTGGGATATGTGTTAAATTGTACTGGCCAAGTACAGTTATCTACAACGTATTTTTTTTCTTAAGTGTAATACTGGGAGAGTGTAAGTAAGAGACTTCCATAATGGAAATAAACCTCAGAGTATTAGATTATATTCTATTAAGCCCTCTGGGTTTTTAATAGACAGTACAGGGCTATTTGCTAGCTTTGCTGTCTTCATGGCATGCACCATTTTTTTGTGTGTAAGAGTCCTCCTTAAAAACTGTACAGTACTGTCAGCTTTGTGAACCTGGGAAGGCTACTCACACTTCCCTCTTCAAAGAAAAAGTATTTTTTGGAAGTGAAAAGTGTCAGTAGTATCACATATAGCTAAGAAATAAAGATTTCCATCTCCATCAGCTGGCAGTGTTTGAGTCAGTATCTAGTCATTTGGAGCTGGATTGGGAAACCAATAAAAGAGAAAGAAAAACTTTCACTCCAGGAGGGCAGAATGTTATTTCCAAATTTCTATTAAAAACTAATTAAATTGTATTAATAGTAAAAGGAAATATTAAATAT